AAAAATTGGTAAGTAAATTACAATTGTGGGCATATTTCTACAAGAGATTTCTTCCAGTTAACCAAAGTGCAACAATCACGGAATGCAGTAATATGATATTACCGATGAAAAAATAATGAGGAAGTATTTTAAAAAAACACTAGTTCCCGTAATCAAACTAGATGTCGCTACGGTACGTTCTTGATTTCTCCATGACAACCGTTCCGGTTTTCTTTCATGTTTAAAAGTAAATTAGTTTTCAAAACTCTATAAACAATTCATATTGTACTTGTACTTTTTCGCATTTGTATTGATATCTAAGTTTCGAACTTTTCAAATTTCACTTTTTTTAATATGTTAGTTAAAAGGAACGGAGATGTCTGTCTTTGGTCCATTCATTTCCTGCAAAAATCAACATCTAGCGAAGGTGCTTTTTAAAATTTCGTTTTTTTAAAATACTTCCTCATTTAAAAAAGTATTCTAAAAAGTCAAATGATGCATTTAATAAATCCGATCGATGTTACACTACTTACTTTTTTATTCGCATTACAGAATCAAACATGTTACCTACACTATAGTATTTATAAACCGCGAAGGTTAACATTAACAGTGTACAGCGCCATCTCGTTACTTTGTGTTGAAACTTCTTGTTGTGATGTGTGTGATGTAGCTACTTACCAGTCTCCACCCTATGTTCACTCAAAAACTTATGTGTTTAAGTCTCGCGGTTCACTCACCGTATTTAAGATTATGTTTTAGCTAAAAGTCTCATTTAAATTGCCAATCAACAATGTTTAAATGACTGTGTCCATACTATGCCATATCTCTACACAAACTAAAGTACCTACCCCAAATCAAAATGGACAAAATCACTTTTATTAAATACATGTAGGTAGGTACCCAAAGGCGGTGACTACGTGGTTTAGGTATTTTCTTATTTCATAAAAACACCGATTATGTTACCTACAAATATATTATTGTGTTCGATAAATATGTATTGTTGAACGAAGAGCTTTGTGATTTTGGCCAATTTTGATTTGTAGCTAAGAAATTTATTCAAATTCCTTATTTGCAGCTTGTAGCCATTTACCATAGCCCTTTACTTTATTATACATGCTTTACTCTTTGACTGTGCTTTGACAACGTGGTTTACATCATAATTGTGTTTTTCATTCAGTTAAAAAGTCCGTATTAAAAATAATATAAGATAGCGAAATAATAAATAGCGGATATACGAAATGTTAGATAAATATCTCGAAATGAAAGATGACACAAAAATAGCACATCGCTTCCATTTAAAAAGTGGCACATTATTTTTTGCCTTACTAGGAACCGTGAGTATTGCAAATGCGAAAGTATTTCTCGGTCTGATTAAATATCGTAACGAACGTACGATATTACGAACCCAAAGCTAACTGTGATATAGAGATAGTTTCGGAATGGAGATATGTTTACTTTCCACAGTCGCACTTAGATGTTTTTATCAACGCGCTCTTAAGAGGACGATTCACACCCACTAGCTTTCACCAGATTGTCTTTTCAACTCATCTATAGTTCTTCCATGTCTTCAAAATAGCCATTACGATATTTAATCAGCTAATTTATTTATTTTTGCGTTGCAGTCTGTTCATTTTACAAAACACAAAACCGCACTTGTGTACTCCACACGTTTGTAGTGCAGATTTTGTGCAATAACATGTATTTTAGGCAAGTTCTAGATCCCCATTCGAATTAATTACGAACGTAGTTTGAACAATCGCTTAATTGTCCAAATACGTTACGAAGTTCGCTGGGCATCTGTAAATTTTAATTAAACAAATACTTCTGATTCTGATCATATTCACATTCAAGTGTTTTATGTAGTATACCTTCTTCTTTATCAGCGTATATTTACCATGGATTGAATATTTTCCACCGTTGTAACAGTTGGGCTTCCCAACCCATTGGACATACGCCTCTTGAATTTCTCTCCAGCATGATTGCCACTTAACCTTTTCGTGAGGTGCGAACGCCTAACTCTTTTGGTGAATGAGTTTGGGATAAATGAAATTTGTAACACTACTGTCAAACACATAATCAATATTCATCATTCATTCGTCGTTTATAACGTACATGTCAAATCGCTAAGATATCGTACCTACGTTATGGCTAGAGACATGACTAGACAATTAGGCGCCAGCACCCATATGACACGTGGCACCCTAGGTCTTTCAAGCTTATCACTTTAATATCGTTGTACCATTAAACAGGTAATCTGATTTCTGCTTTACCACGAAAACGTTTTCTATACTAATATACAATAAGCTGCGAAAACACTGAATAGCTTTAAAAATTCTTTCACCTACGGCTACATCATACTCGGCTATTTTTTACGCGGGCGACGCAGATAATCGCAAATAACACGTTTTGTTTTATTATTTCAGCTATGGTGGTGTTCTGAAGTCCTAGTTGGTAAAAATTATAAACTTTCACGTCTGATTGACAATCGTCTATTCAGACCACTTTATGTCATTGTTTTTGTACTATATTCTATCTGTTTTACTTTACTGTGTTGTGCATTAATATAAAATAAAGACAATACATTTTTTCTGAAACCGGACTTGAAATAAAACTTTATAATTAATATTTTAACTGTAGAAAACTTGAATTGAATTTATTCATTTTCCCCGGTCTGTATCGGTGTTATAATCGGAGACCAGATCACATTCAACAAAGAATACTGATTACATGCATGAAAAATTCCTACATAAAATAATACACAAAAATGCTTAAAAATATTGCCTAATCCCAGTTCTATCATTCAGTTCCACTAAAGGACTAATGAGATTTTTTTTCTCCCAGTAGTAGAATGATGGTACTACCAGGACCAGGAAAAATATGCATTAGATGTTTTAGTAGGATAAATTGTTCTTAGATTATATACATGAAATTATCTTACCAAATAAAATTTAAAAACAAAAGACATGCACTCTAGTCTTTATTCTATATGAAATTGAATTGGGTAGTTTATCTGAGATAGATAGTTTAGTGTGGATGTGACTGTTAACGTTGTTCCCCACTGCTAGTGCACAGGCCTTCCTTAAGGATGTAATTGAATAGGGAGAATCAGAGATGGATCTAGGGTTCCAGGTAAAATAAAAGTGCAACATCTATGCTTAACACTTTATTTCAATGAAAGCAAAATAATTACTTTTTTAAACATAACATGATCTGATGGTTATTCTAAATAAAATAAACGACTCAAGTCTATAAAGTCAGAGGGAGACAACATCTAAATCAATATGACTCTACAATTTATTGATTTTACAAAAGAGGTGTCTTTAATATCGCGTTATATATGTTATAATAGCCATTTTTTTTCTAAAGCAAAAAAATACGCACTTTTATTCATTATCTTAATCAATATGTGTCACCTTATTTACGTTGAACAATATATAAGGTTATACAAAATTCTCTAGTCTATTTAGGACCTTAATTTGCTGCAGATAAGAGTTCAAAAAAGATAGCTTGAGTTATTTTTTGATAACCTGATGCATTGTTCTATATAGACAGTGCGGATAAAATGCGCATGTACAGATATTTGCACAGGATATATGCGTCATATAAACTGTCATAGTTATGTATTATACTTAGAATTATGTGCAGGTTCAGCATTTAAGTATGTACACTCAGCGTCATAATTATCGATGCGCCCAAAGTGATCAAAAAGATGCCTAGTACCTTCTGTTGGATTATGTCTAGGTAACCAAAGTTGCATTTTGAATTAGGTACGCAGTGATCAAAATATCTTGGCATCATGGTTTCAAATTTATCCACTAAAATGATTTGATTAAACTTCTGTACTTGACATCTTATGATCACCTTGAGGTTTTCGGTGATTATAACGCTCACTGTACCAACGCAAGTTTGTTTATATTGCTAGGTAGCCTAATTTTTCCTTGATCCAGCTAGTTGTCATGTAAATTAATTATATAAGCGATTACTTATTTCTGATTATCTATCAAATAATAAGATAATTAAAAAACATTGTCTTTCAACTTTTCAAAGTATTCATCAAAAATGCAAATAAGGCTGAAAATTTATCATATTTATATTCCAAAATACAAAATCATATCTTCGACATTCGTGACATATTTTAAACGCATTTTCTTACGCTGTTTCTATCGTAGAGTCATTTTGTTTTCTATGGCTACACATCAATACAGAAATCCATTGCACCCTTTTACATCTTATAAAGTAACTTATCACTGGCTGAGAATCGGGTGAATGGTAATAAAAGAAAAAAATAACTATCATACAAACTTAATTTTTATTACATTACAATTTTTTGTACAAGAATAAAATTTGGCATTCCAATTTCGACCACTAGCGTACGGTAGTTTGCTATAATCAGTTTTAGGGCTGATTTACATCCATGGCGAATATTGATCGCAACTTTGTTCAAAATGTATGGATTTTTAAATGCAAATAACATTTTAAATTCACATTTAATGTATTCAAATGACTGCAAAATTAAAGTTAGTAGTTTCGAAGAAACATTTGCCATTGATGAAAGCAATTATTATTATTCTTAGATATTTGTATTTCCAACACCCTATGATCCATGTACATTTGCAAAATTACTTATGAGATCTTTTCATGTAGATGTAGATAAGAATTTAGATGTACACGAAAAATAATTACGTACGCTCAGATAATGTTAACCAACCTGCTAATCGTTTTATCTAACGCGGTTATACAGTAACGTCTATGTCAGTAACTCTTTGTTTTATTTGGTAAGTTATACATGGCGACAAATATAAAAAGAAGATATGTTTGAAATTTACATATGATAGGTTAAACTATCAAAAAGTTAGGTGACTATAAAAGATAATTCTTCTCCAAACAAATGTAACGTAAACTAATTACAGTATTGATTCAGAAATGGCAGCCTTGTATATATCAGCTATACAATTTTTATAATGACCTGTGTTATGATTATGACATGCATTGAATGAATAAATTGAATTGAATATGCATTTCACCAAAGATGTCAATAATACAATTCATATTTATTAGATTGTATGCCATTGACATAAGCAATACTTTCCTTTGAAAAAATATGTTATCTCTCAAACTATATACACGGTATATTAACTAACAGCCACAACACATTTTAACCCATTTAGAATTCGTACGTGAATTTAATCCTAGCAAAGGCTGGTAGAAAACATTCATGAATCAAACCAATATTAAGATTCTGACATTCTTTCAAACAGTTCACGAGTGATCTCAACAAACATTTGATGTACAAAAGATCACAACAGTTCAGCAAAACTTTAAAAATGTCTATATAAAGTTATGTACAATAAACCTAAGATAATTTATTCGTCAACGAACCAATTGCGACCGTATTGTTATAATAATAAACATCTAAATTGTCAATCAGTCACCCACCTCTAGGACTTTTTCGTCATCCAATTTTGCTTTCTTCGTGGTTGGAGAACTATTATTTGTTATACTATCCTCAGTGGAGAAACTGACTCTTTTCCTCTTCAAAGCTTTCGCATTTCTATCTGTTTCTACACCGCTAACTCTTCCGCTACATTCCGAGTCGCTCGATAAACCGTTTGTCGCGTTCTTTATAATCAATAAATCTTTCTCTATTTCAGTCAATTCTCTGGGCTTTGCGGGTCTGCCTACTGATCGTTTGGGTTTATTTTTGCTTGTAGAAGGCGATTCTTCGGTGGGCTTACGCTTTTTGTATGTGCGTTTAGGCTTCTTAGGCTGTTCATCCTGAAATAATTCAGAGATTTAGTTTTGTTATTTTGGAGTTGATGTGGGATAACTAACTAGTAAAAAAAAATACTGCAGAAATTTCCAATTAATAAGACGCATGGTGAATCTTTGTTTGCACAGAGAAAATCTAACAATAGGGATGACGACTGGGTAAAAAAAATCTATTTAGTCCGTCAGACAGAATCGAAAAATAATAGATACGTATTTTTTTACTTCAATTTAACGAGAAATAGCTTAGATAACAGGCATCAAAGTTAAAGGGATGGGGGCTTGTTACGTCAGTTTGGTAGAAAGCGTACCATAACTTGACGTCATGCGAAATTTCAACTCCATGTATCGCCGTAATTTTATGATTACGAAAAAAATACGTAATTAATATTTTTCAACACTCTACTTGATGGACAAACAAATAAAAATTAGTCATCATCCCTATTCCGACCATGAACTATCGTGTGACCAAATTCAAAATTTTTTGAATTGCCTCTTATATTGTAATGTGATAGATAACTATAATTTATGAGTGTTTTTTTTTTTTAAATACACATCATCATATTTGTAAACGTTAAAAAATAGCTATAAAATTTAAAGACAAGCATTTTTATTATAAAGAAATATTTTTTTGTATCTCTTATTAGTAAATCAACATTTTCAAGTATTTTTTTTAATGAAACCTTATAAAAAAATACCCACAGCAAAATAAACTCAATCAAAATATTTACCTGTTTAGGCTTTGCACCCATGTATCCGGAACATCTTTTTGCGCCGCATAAGCAACGCTTCTTCTCGATACCGGCGCATTCTAAGTTGTAGTTGAAAGTGAGTTCACTTTTCTGTTTGGCAAAGGAATTAATGAATGAATATATATTTTTTTGCATTTTTACAGTTACACATATACATCTATACTAATATTATAAAGCTGAAGAGTTTGTTTGTTTGTTTGAACGCGCTAATATCAGGAACTACTGGTTCGAATTGAAAAATTCTTTTTCTGTTGAATAGATCATTTATCGAGGAAGGCTTTAGGCTATATAACATCCCGCTGCAACTATTAGGAGCGAAGAAATAATGGAAAACGAGGACAAAGTCGCTGGCGGCCACTAGTATTCTATAAAACATTGAAACAAGTAATACACAAAAGTCAAAATGTTAAAATTTCTTCAAGGAAAACTTTGGCAAAGGAAACCATACATATGGATATAGGATGCAAGTTACATTGATAATTGCATATACCTTCGATAAATGATAATTGCATATAAAATATATATTTAAAAGTTGACAGATTTTGAAAAAAAAAGTCGCTATCAAGCTATTATGTTTAGTGTTAATTATTTATATATTAGTATTCATTGTGTTAAATATGTGGGTGTATTTGTATTTAGTTTTATGTATATGTTTTACGCATATTTGTAATTGTTTATTTTAATATGAACGGAAGAAACGGAGTGACGTCAAGATCCGACGCGGATTGGCGGCTAGAATAAACCTTGTATATCGACATAAACCTTGCAACTCTTATAGATTCGTCAACGTCATGTCTATCTCTCTATGCGTCTGCCAGTATGTCACGGCCACTTTATTCTGATACTATTAGCATAGATAATAGTAGGTACCTCTTTTGGTCTGTTTGGTGGTTACGATTAGGACCTACATATTGACACTTTATAAGAAGATACATTCTATTAAACACTAAGATTTATTCGTTTCCTTATTTAGAAATATTTTATTAGGGTTTTTTACTGTTGTACTTGAATACATAGCGACAATACATTAATAATAGAAGATTTTTAGTGCCCTCTATCGAGTAATAAACAAAACGTAAATGTTCAAAAACGAACTACTGAGCCGCGTCCTCGCAGTATGTTCAGTAGCGTGAGGTACCGCGTGAAGGGAATTAATTCTAGCGAGCACTTCAAAGTCCCATATATTTTTTTATTATATAAATATTTAAGAATTTTTTCCACGGTATTTTTTATTATTGCTTATTCTTTCATTGTTAATAGAAAAAAAAAAGTAGTAAACTATGAGACAGAAGGCGTAATAAAAATATTATTCTGCGCGGCCCAGATCATATTGAACTAAAATCGCTCTTATAGGAAATATTTCGACTGTTCTTTTGCCGTGCAAAATTGTAAAATAATAAAGTGCCACAAATATTGCTCGTTAGGAAGATAATTTTTAGAACAAACTCGATAATAATGATTTATTCTTATGTCGTATCCATATTAAGATATCATCATGAATTTTATTACCTATTCCACTTACTTTAACAACCTTCATAATCAAAAGCTCGCAATTCGTTTTCATTTTGTTGCCATCTTTAATATTCTCTTAAAGACTTTATTTCTGTCTTCCCATATTACAGAACTTATGTCGTAGAGGTTTTAGGGATTTAAGATCTTAAAAAAATAGGTACAAGATGGTACCTGTTTGTTAATAACTTACCGCCGGTATATCCTTTATGGCGAAGAGTCCTACTCTAACGTCACCTAATACTGTCCATTTCTGGGTTTCACAGTTTGGTTCACAGCAATGATTCATAAACCTATGGAACACAAGATTTTGAATAATGTAAATAATTTTATGAGTATCTTTACATGTAATAACTTTAGAATAAGCGCCGCGGCCTGCGATCAATCAGGATGTGTGACCAAAAAATTATTATCTCGAGCTGCTCCGTGCTTCGGAAGGCACGTTAAGCCATTGGTCCTGACTGTATTTGCAGTCGTTAATACCCTCTAATCCGCAATGGGTCAGTGCGGAGGGTTATCCAATCCTCCTTAACCATACACAGGAAAGGCTTGAGCCACAGCATTGGAGACGTAAAAGGGCTGACGATGATGATGCATAATACCTCAGTAAACAAAATTGATATTGGAATCAAACATTTGGCTCGAAGAACCACTGATGTGACCAACAAAGGGGGCAACTATTGAATATTATTAATTAAAGTAACGGAACTCACTCAAATCAAAGTTATTTACTATTTTTAGAAGAACTGCAAGTAGCCGAAACAAATTTACTGATCATTTCAAGTCACAATTACAATTTTCATATTCCCAACAGTGCAGCCGCCTTTATAATTAATAGAGGTCAAAAGACTTTTTATGTATTTTTATAGATATACGTGAAATATATATAAAATAAATATTTTAAGAAATATCATTCATATAATCAAATTAAATTAAATTTTCAAAATTTCCCGCGAAAACGTCACTTTTGTCGTCGCTATGACGTAACGGCACTCTATTTTCTTTTCTTTCTATAAATATAATGCATAAGTTTCTGATATGAGTTAGAGGATCGTGACGTCACGCTCTGTTTGTGACAACGAGCATAAAATATTTGTATTTTTTTTTATAATTATTTTATGAAATGTTATAAATTTAATTAGCATGAAAGTGTGATTATATCAAACACTAGCAGAAAAAAAAATAATATGTTTTTATTTACGTTTACTGTCTATACTCGTATTATCTTAGCAGCAAAGATAGGAACAGAAGTATTTCACACTCACCTAGCGAGATTCCCTTTAGGTCCAGCATCGATCATCCTCTCTTTATCCAATGTTAAGAAATAAAAATTCTCATCACGTATTTCATGCTTCCTGTTCATTCGTCTCTTGAACTCCTCTTCATCGATCAATTCGCCTACGTATTCTATAACAAACTGACCTGAAAGATAAATAATATTTTGATTTGAAATAATATATTCTTGATATATCTTGAGAATTTCAAAAATGAACATTTTTGTGATATAGAACTATTGAGAAGGGAGGGATGCCCTCGCTTTTTAAGAGACTTGCTCGACCCGTAATTTTTATTCACTAACGTAATAAACGGGGGTCATAAACATGAGATTTGTATTAATCTAAGTTTCGAACTTTATATGTTAGTTAAAAGGAACGGAAATGACTTTCTTTGTTCCATGTCTAGTGCTTTTTAGTGCTTTCTTTTTTTTTCTTAAATACTTCCTCATTTAAAACATATTTAATCTATACTAATACAATAAACTAATGTAATCGCTACTAAGCGATTTCTTGCAACCGTTACAGACTGAATAGCTTCATCATAATCATCGGCCTTTTAACATCCCCATTGCAGGGAGTCAGGCATTCTTTATTAAGAAGGATGGGCCATGACCCTCCACGCTGGCCCAATGCGGATTGGAAGGTATTAACAACTGCAAATGCAGCCGGGACCAACGGATTAACGCACCTTCCGAAGCACGGAGTAGTTCGAGATAATATTTTTTGGTCACCCATCCCGTGACCGACCCTTGCGAAAATTGATTAAGAATAAAGATCGCGGGCTGCGGTGCTTATCCACTACGTCACCGAGCTGCTCACTAGAAAGCTTATGTAACTTTAATTTAGGTAGATTATGGTTAGAGGTAATATTTTTCTCACCGGCTTTGATATCCTCAAGTGCCCTCAGTCCCCATCCCCTTTGCGGCGTCCTATAGGGGGCGACGCGCGGATACTGTCGCTTCTCGAACGCTCTATTGTTGCAACGATCACCCGCTCGACAACTCGGACCGCATTCGGTCAGAAGCATTCTATATGTGGATAACAAACGCCATTTTTAAGGCCACAAACATTTGTTTGTAGTGTTCGATCTCCTGATTAGAAATTCAGATTCGAAGTACTTATGCGTTCCATACAGTGTACAGCGACATGCACACGTTCGTTTTTTTTCAATTCGGTTAAAAGCCAACATTCATTTCAAAAATTCACCGTGCTCTCGTGTCGTTCAGAACACTCTCTTTCATTTGTTATAAGTTTTTTTTTTATTGAGACTCTTGTCTATGGCACAATTTTATGTTTTAAGTATATTGCTAAGAAACATAAAACCAACCAAGTGTGAGCCTGATTCGCGCACGCAGGGTTTTATGCCATTTATTTATCAAAAACAAAAATATTATGTTTGTTGTTTGGGAGCCCCCTTTAATATTTATTCTGTTTTTTAGTGTTTGATATGATGTGATAGCAGTGATAGAAATACACAAGTGAAAATTCCAACTCTACCACAGATCATGAGATATATCTCATGATCTGTGGTAGAGTTGACTGACGGACAGACAGCAGAGTTTAAATTTCTAAAAATCCTTCCTTAGTGCTCACTTACACCATGAAAGGTACCCTTGCACCAAATTCCAAGTTTCAGCTGTGTGTTATATAAATCAGTCAGGTTACCCTTTAAAATATATGTTTATAGATGAACAATACCTGTTTAGACAGTGCGAGTAAGGTCCACATGGGTCCTCCACATCTGGGTTGCAGTCGCATTGTGTGAGCGAGCTCTCCTGCACGTCCACTCGCCTCGAGCACACGGAGCCGACTGGCTTGTTCACTTTCAGTTTCACATAGTGAGGTGGCAATAGAGACGACGCTATATCTGTGTCTTCTTCCTCGTTCGTTTCGGCACCTTAGATTAAAAATAGCGAACTATTAATGTATTTAACAATCGAGAAAGTCGTCAAACAAGACATTGTATGAAAATCCTTTTTTTTTTTAAAGCAGACGAAATGCAACTGGAAAAACCGGCTTTAGCAACCGGCAATAGAACAGGCTTAAGATTCGATGAAATTTAAAAAATATATATATGAAAAATTATACTTTTGAAATACGAAACGCAAAAACATTAAACCTAGAAAGAAAAAAATCACATTATTCCTCGATCTGTATAATTTTCTGTTTAACATGTAACCGAGAAGGTTTACTAGACATGGTATACATTTAATATAGGTAACAAACGGCATAAGACTTACTTTTCAATATTTTACATGCCCTCTGCGCGTGTTCCATAGCCATTGTAAATGCCGCATCTATTTTCGATTTTTGGCTTGATATTCTTCCGGAGTCACCTGCAAGAAAGTAAGAAAAATATACAGATGCAAGTAAGCAGAAATGTCCCTCGTTTACGATTATGTAACGTATCTATCCTCCACCAACGCATGCGAAATAAGGGGACATGTATATGCAAATGAACAGTCGAATCGTTTTGCTCTGCTTCCATTCCTCACTCATTACGCTTTGGTCCTTCGAACCGGATATCTATCCGGATAGAATGAATAGAACTATTGTTTATTTACTATTGAAGTATAAATTTTAATATAAAAGAACAATTATAATTAAAGTAAATCAACATTTATTAATGACCATTTCAAAATTTACACCATGTTAATAACTTACCTAACAGGCAAAGCGTTAAGCAATAGTCTATATTTTCAATATTAAATAAAAAAGTAATCTTATTCCTGCAATAGTGAAATTACGATATTCAAATGAATCGATGTATTACAATTAATTCAAAACAAATTCATTTTGTTGTGGGTGCAGATATAGTGCATATCCTAAGGTAGCTAAAATATAAAGTTTTTATATCTAAATTGATCTAACCTTCTTGGAAAGGGAAAACTCGTCCCCTGTTCACCCAGTAGTGATCATATTGTCCGAAAAAACGAACCACGAACTCGCCAGGGGAATGTTTCACCGCCATTATATTATCAGGTATTTCTGATGGATGTAGGATCATTCCTGGCCACCATCTAAAAATTGATAATAAATATCACATGTTAATAAATTACACGTAACCAACAAAATAAATGAAACTTAGCTAAAATGACATTGGCACAAAGTAAACATTAACATTTCAAAAAATCAAAGAAATGCTAATTCGTACGAATTGAACCTACATTTTACATTCATTCACTTATATCTTAAAGCGCAAAAAAAATATATAAGACTTCATATGCATTGCTCAGATTCAAAGATCATCATCATCATCAGCCCTTTTACGTCCCCACTGAAGGGGCTCAGGCCTTCCTTATGGATGGTTAAGGGAGATGGGCCATGACCCTCCGCGCTGGCCCAATGCGGATTGGAGGGTATTAACGACTGCAAATGCAGCCGGGACCAACAGCTTAACGTGCCTTCCGAAGCACGGAATAGCTTGGGATAATAATTTTTTGGTCACCCATCCCGTGACCGACCCTTGCGAAAGTTGCTTAACGACAACGATCGCGGGCCGCGGCGCTTATCCACTATGCCACCGAGCTACTCATTAGTCACTCAAAGATATATATATAGCTGAATCCCTTTTAAGAAGCAGATCGGGGCTTGGACAGCCCAGCCATAAAGACATACTTGACAACTGCATAGGGCGCGTAGGGGGGCACCTTAAAAAAAAACTCTTATACATTAAACATGAGTCTACGTCCGCAGTATATAACAGTAAAAATAGTCAGACCAGCAGTACCTAAGGAGATTCTTTTGTCATTGGCAAAATTACACGATGTACCTACATGTCTTTTATTTTGTTGTGGTTTTTTAAGGGCATCGCTCCAGTGTTTTCCTCGAGCGGTGTTTCATTAAACGGTACTATATCATATATAACAAAAGTGCCACAACACCCACACCAGAGACAATACATAAAGTTCATTTTGTTCTACACTAAACCGACCGTAAATCGGAAGTCGGGACCTCTGAAATCTCTACTTTCTAAATGTCTTACCTGTAATGTCCCAATTTCACCCAGACCATTTCTCCATAGAGAGGTAAGCGGCCAGTTTCACAATCTTCACACATATATCCACCTATTAAAATAAACATTAACTATAGACTTTAATTACATAGCCATACGATACAGTCGTAAGACCATTGGAACACATATCAATTTAGTACTTTAAGAAACATTTCTGATATGAACATTAAAAACGTAATTTGAAATAGTAACAAAAGATTTTGATTGTCATCTAAAGGTGAACTAAATTGCTATGCAACATATTCATATTTATTCAAATGTGGGTTAAAAATGTATATGGAATCATACCTTCAGGTGGTTTTATATTAAGGCACTCAGCATGGAATGAGGTCGGGCAGTATTCACAGCAAATCAAGGAACCACCCAATGCACATATGAAACACCATCCTGTATTTACGTGACATGGCACTTTTCCAGGTCTGAAAGAGATTTTAATGAATTTAATTATTCTTATCAATAAGTATAAAAATGGTTTATGTATGCCAATAAGCGCACGAGCGACGTACATCTGCAACTCGTTGCCAAACTTTTTTGTCAAACGCGCGACGTTGCCGCTTTGTTGAAACACGTGATATCTCAGCATTATAAACAAACGAAAACAATAGCGGGGTGGTTCTGTCGCTAATATGACACACCGTTTCTTTCCGCACCACTAGGATTCAATTTTTAATCGATAGTAACTTGTTGTCGAATAATTGTTCACTATTGTTTATTTATTTTATTTATTAACAAAAACAACATAAGAAAGAATATAAGAAATAGTTACATTAAAAAAATCATGTGGTTTAATGAATCAAGTTTTATCTATTTATTATACTATCCTTCCTACACTTAACTACTGAAGAGTAAGTGTATTCTTTCTTTACTCCCAAAGGCGTGCAGTTTTTTTATTATTTATCTACTTAAAAAACAAATACCTGGACTCGGGGAGTATCTATATTATTCTAACATATGGCAAGTACACGAAATAGCTCAATCTACTCCGATCTGTGTTTATTATTCAATAACTTCCTAATACTAAGTAGCTTGTAATTAAAAACTCATTGGTTTCACAGTTTTACTGCATACTCATTAAGAATCGATATAATAAAAAGGGTCTAGTAACTAGAATCTAGTGTATACTAGTCACTGCAGACTCGGGAAGCGTCAAGTACACTATAATTTTCGTAACAGTAACATGCAACAGTTACAGATCGCAAATAAGAATGGGGCTTAATATGAGGACGTAAAAGGCAAATGTAAGGGATTTTGATGGTTTTGTCCTAACGTGTTTCTTCGTTTCAATGCGCTCTACTACAGGAGATATGTGATATTTCACGAATTACCTTTTGTTGCAACCAAATATATTATATACAGCATGGATTTTTAAAACTGAACAGTAACAGCAAGTAGCTTAACTATTAAAGTTATATAAAAACATTCTTATGAGACCATCATAATTTTTAAGATATTCTGAACTGCATTTACATATTTAGGATAAAAAAAAATGCTTAATTACAAATCATTTAAACATGTAAAATTTTGATCACAGTAGTAAGAAATATAATGCAGTTCAAAATACTAACTTAAATGGTTCTTATCTGCCCTTACTCTTCCCTCTCAAAAATCCATTCTGTTTATTGAAATCATCACCTGGATATAGGTAATTCTTAAAGTACGAGTGAGGGCTATAAATACATATTATGAACAAATCCAAATTAAAAAAGAAATATACCTGTGTTCATAATGTCGAGGGCAAACGATGTGTGATGCAGTCAAGATTTGCGACCCTGCAGGTAAGCACTTGGTGAAAGAATGATATGTTGCTGGGCATCTAATGCACCGAGCCAATTTGTCCCCGCTGAATCTCGTTTTACAACCACGAGGGTCATCAGATACGCAAGTGTGGCATACATGCCTTGGGCACATAAACTCCTCGAAACGTTCATCAATCTTTTTGCCAATCTTTGACAGTTCTCCTGCATGAAACTGAGTCTGAGGCCAATGATCTAAACACTCCATATGATAATACTTGTAGCAATGTGCAATTTGACATCTTTGTCTGTACTCTACGCCTGTCTTGGAAACAACTGACTTGCATACGAAACATACAGGTTTAGCATGTTGTTGACAGTTTCTGCATTTGAAATCAGAATAGTCCGTTTCTATCTTTGGCGTTAATTTAAAGTCGACGATCTCACATTTGCCAGCGATAGTTCCATTCCAGTTAATGCCATCATAAGTTGCATATGAGTAACAATTTTCTGTCATTGGTATCAATTCTTTCATTTTAACCTCTAAAACGGATTCGAAATTTTCTGCATCCACTGTGTAAGATTCCAGTTCTACCATATCTTCAACTGAAACATTGTTTTCCGCAGAAACGTCTTGTGATTTCTCATCACTGTGACTTCCAGATTCGTCGAGATTCTTTGGTTTACGACCAAGTTTTTTCTTTTTCTTTCTACCTCTTGTTGGTACCGGAAGTTCAACCTTTACTTCTGTTTCTTTTTTAACACATTCCACATGAAACATACAATTACAACCTTTACATTTCACTAAGTTACTAGTTCTTTCACAAATTTCACAAACTTTTTCCCTCACTAATCCCTTAAACACATTAGGCTTTGGTTTTGTCAGTTCATTGAAGTACAACTCTACTTCATCGATTCCATCGTCTTTATCATCGTCGACATTAATATTATCTATATCATCAGTTGAAAGTCTCTGCTTTGATTTAAAAATATCAAAAACTTCAATATCCTCTGAATCAGAAAGCTCATCCTCTATATAATAAGGGTGAGAATTTTTACGTTTTGGCTTGTCATTTTGTAATGTATCCTCATCAGCCGTCAATTCCTTTTCAGTATTCATCTTTTTCCGTACTTTTTTTGGCTTAGCAATATCTGTGTTTAATCCCTTTATCATACTAGCCTGTTCTATTTCATCTATTTTTTTTATGTCCGATTTCACACTCTCTTCGTACAACCAGGTTTTATACAAGTATGAAATAATTTCTTCCTGACTCAATTCTGGATTTTCATCAATAAGTGCATCTTGCCTCAACTCCAAATATTTACAGAATTCTGGGTTATCTTTGCTTGCCTGATTTGTGCGATGCTTGCGTTTAGATAAAGACACTGCACTATCTTCAGAATTTATTGAGACTGTTTCAGGATCATACTCCTGTTTGACTTTGAAGTCACACTCAGAATGTATATCTTGAATTTTATGTTCGCTTTCGGATTTATTGAATATACTGAAATATTTTGTCTTTTCACAATAGTTTCCCTCAGATACCACCTTCTCTTCTTTTTGTTTGATTTGATCATTAGTATTTTCCAACTGATTTTCAAGTGTCAGGGAGATGTTGGGTAAGTTATTTTCACAAAGAATACTTGTTTTTGGTGGTTTTGGTATTTTATTGTGCATCTGATGCACATCACACTTATCACTAAAATCAGAATTTACAGATTCAGACTCTTCTCTTTCCAAAATTCTTCTTTCTACGCTGCTCTCTTTGCTTATGTCATTTTGAATATTTTCCATTGTAACCACTGGAGACTGACTGAACCTCTGACGCGTGTTTCTTTTTACTGAAAAGTCACTAATATCAGAGCTTATAGATATTGAATCTTCATAGCTGGATCTAAGTTTACGTTTTTTACTCACACGGAAATGGTTTCTAATGGTCTTTTGCTTTATATTATCATTTAAACCCTTTACTATTCCAGACTGCTCCAAGCTATCAGTTTTCATGAAATCAGATTTTGAATTTTCTTCATATAGCCACGTTTTATGCATATAGTCAACAAGTTCATCATAACTCAGTTCTGGGTGTTCATCCATAAGTGCATCTTGATGTAATTCCTTGTATTTGATGAAATCTGGATTATTGATATCCTTTATTTTATATCGATTTTTTGATTGCAATTTATTTTTAATAATCGCCAAAGGTTCGCTATCTTCTGAATAAATAGACGCCGTCTCAGCATTAAATTCGTCTTCGCTAACATTAGGTGTATAGTCATCATTAGAATAAAATCCGTTTAGCTTAACATGTTCTAGTACACTTTTAGAAGGAGTTTCATTAGTTTTCATACTGCTTGCATCTTTGCCAATAGAAATTTCCTCAATACCATTTTTTAACATAACATCTTTTCTTTGTTTTTTACCAATAGACACTTCTTCAGAATCTTCATTATTCATAATACTATTCTTTTTAGTAGTAGACGTTTCCTCGATTTCATTTTTATTTATAACTATTTGCTTTTTACTAAAAGACATTTCCATGGTTTCCTTATTGTTGACAGCACTAATCTGCTCATTGGAAATCGAAATTCCCTCAGTTTCATTATTATTTATAATAACCTGTTCTTTACTAACAGACATATCCTCAGTTTCACGATTGTTTACAATACTCAGTTCTTCCCCAAAACATTCTCTGTTAGTGTCTTCCCTACCAGTAGAAATATTTTTAGGACAGTCATTTTTTTCTATTTGTATGTTCTCACTATTAGACATTACCTGAATTTCATTATTGTTGACATTGCTACTTTGCTCTTTGGCAATCGATATTCCCTCAGTTCCATTATTATTTATAATAACCTCTTCTTTACTAGACATTACCTCCGTTTCAATATTACTTACAATACTTTGTTCTTTCCCAAGGCATACTTTATCAAGTTCTTCTTTATCACTAGAAATGTTTATAGAACACTGATTTTTTTCTACTTGCATGTTTTCACTATTATTTATATCTATAATACTTTGCACTTTATCAATACAAATTGTGTTATCAAAACATTCATTTTCTATTTTTGATGTCAACATAGGATTCACTTGACTAATTTCCAAATCTGATAATTCGGTAACATCCTTATTAATTCGAAATTCTTTGCTGACATCCTGGCAAGCTAAATCAATGCAACTTTTTATTTGAAAGTTATCGCTTTGGTTCAAGTTGGGATTAAGTGGTTTGGTGGACAATTTATCAATAACAATCTCATCGATGGATCTTAATACATTGCCTTCGTTATATGGTGTGTCTTTATGACTATATGTTGCATCCAATTTACTATCTTGTAGACAAACTGATGAATAAGTTGAAGTTTGTGATAAGGAATCAAAGCTTTGGTCCCTGTCTATAGCAATTGCAGGTTTTTCGTTATTCATAACAACAGAGATTTTTCCTTTCTTGGAATTCTCATTGTGCATACATTCCCTAATGTGACAACTTTCTTCACCATTTATACTATTGTCTACAATCAAAATATTTGTAATACTTTTATCATCGATGTTTGTATTAGTTTCGACATAATTTACTATGCTATTGGATGATAATTTGGATATATCACTATGCATTTTGTCATCATTTATAGTACAATTATTTTCAGTACCATTCAATGATACTTTCAAACTTAAGTCATCACAACACACATTGTCATTGTTAATATTACAAGCATTAATGCCATTACTATCTGTGTCTAATTTATTTGAAATCGCGCCATCAATACCATGTGTTTTTTCATCAGTTTCTATATAATTTGTACATTTAGAATATTCATTGATTGGCCAAATACAAGACTTTTCTCCGTTTTTGAATGCAACACTTATGTTACTTTGTAAAAGTATATCAGTCAAGTTCACAACACAAATCCTTTTTGCAGTATTTAATTTTAAATTAGGCGTTTTAGAAATATTATTGTCGATTTTATCTTTCAAATTCTGAATACCAACTTCTTTAGTATTATCATTACTGACAGATAGTACCCGAGCGTTCAAATTGTCGCCATTTTGGTATTGCCAAGTTTTAAATAAATAATCCATTATTTCCTTTTCTGACAAATGCGGATGTTCATCAATTAGTTCATCTTTGTGTAATTTTACGTACTTGGCAAATGCATCATCTTGATTGTTGGGAGATTTTTGTTTACTCTGTTTTTTTAAACGTAAACTCCGTTTTTTTTGTGCACTTGAACGAACGCGAGTTTTAGCTGAAGAGCAGATAGTAATATCACTTTCCTCAGTACTTTGAGACGAATTATCAAAACTGGTTTCAGTATCCGATTTTTCAATGCTAGGTATGTTTAAATCGTATAGGCCGTTACACTGTAAAATTACAGATTTTTTTTCTTGCCCATACAAAGCAACCTCATTATTTTTCATACCATTCGTCTCGTTAGGCGCATCTATTTCTTTTTCCAACTCTGCATTACCAACAGCATTTTTACTAATACTGAGTACTGTATTATTTTTACAATGTTGACTATCTAAGCCAAAATCTAAATGAATGTTTTCTTCTGAATGTCCATTCATATCCAAATAAGGTAAGGTGTTCCCGATTTTGTTAGTGTCCATATTAATGTTGTAGCAATTATTTGCCCTAACAATGCGAGCCTTGTCCATAGAAGGAAGTGACAAAGTCGAAGAAACAAAATCTATATGATTCAATTCTACTGTGTCGTTGACGTTTGTGTCTTTAATATCAGGTTGCCTTTTCATGCTTTCTTCTTTATTTTTTTCTAAATCATCTTGAACAAGTTCAGAAAGTATCATTTCACATTTATTTTTGTCTGATTCAACTTGAACAGATTCAGGCTGATATAAAGTTTCATATTTATTTTTTTCCAATTCATCTTGAACACATTCAGGCTTATTCAAAGATGTTTTATTTTTTTCTGATTCATTTTGAACAGATTCAGGTGAATCTAATTTTATTTTATTATTTTCTGATTCAACTTGAACGATTTCAGGCGTATCTAACATTTTATATGTATTTTTCTCTGTTTGATTTTGAATGGATTTAGGTGTGTCTAAAGTTTTTATATTTTTTTCTGATTCATCTTGAACAGATTCTGGGATATCCAGAATATTATATTTTTTTATTTCTAGTTCATCTTGAACAGATTTAAGGGTATCTAAAGTTTCATTTTTATTTTTTTCTGCTTTTTCATGAACAAGTTCAGATATGTTCAAAGTTTCATGTATATTTTTTTCTAAATTGTCTTGGAGACATTCCTGTCTAACTAAAGTTTCAAGTTTATTTGCTCCTGAATCATCTTGAACACTTTCAGGTGTATCTAAACTTTTATAAGAAGCTGTTTGTTCAGTTTCATGAGAATATACTTCTTCATAATCTTGTGTAAAAGTTGGAGACTCACAAACATTAATTTCATTTTCGCCCAAATTTTTATCTTGCATATTATCTATTTCATCATATACTTTATCTCTAAGTGACTCTACCTTTGTAATAATACCAAAAGTTATTCCAGGAATCACATCAGTTTCATTTTTACTGCTATAGTCATGTTCATTGTGATGAGACATTAAGTTCTGAGATTCATGAGATTTTCTTAAGCTATAAGGTTTTTTAAGGACATTTTTGGGTGCTTCCCATTTTTTCTTCTTTGAATTTATACTCTTTTCTTTTTCTTTTAGTGGCACTAGGAGTTTGACTTGTGATTTCTCTGGGGTTTTAGATTTAGCTTTCTGAAGCCATCTATCCATGTGCGATTGTTTTTGTATTTTGGTGATTCCTGATTTAGCTGCCATATTATCAAGACATGCAGTAACTACTTCTGAAACATCCAAAGATTTTCTAGTCTTACTCCTAGAACTATCTAAATCTTCAGAACTTCTATTATTCTCAGAGAATAATGTGTCATACAAACTCTCACTTAAAGATACATCACTACCAGTTCTCGTTATATTCGCACTTTTTGGTTTCATTAACTTTGCATTTCGAGATTTTGCCAGCATGTCATTAAATATATCAATTCTAAGTCTTTTCGGCTCGCGTAGTAGAGTTTCAGCCTCTTCAACAGAAATGGACCACTGAGGCATCTTTTTTTCCGATATAAAAAAAGCTGCATATAATTTAGGGTCCTTTTTTCTTGCCTATGTAAAAACAAAAAAGAAACAGTTATTTATCATGCAAAATCTTATTCTGTATAGACTTATAAATTTAGTTCTATCTATTTTATCGAGAATTACTAATTAGGGAGCATTTTGAAGACAAGAAATTAGTATAGATACTATGTACAGTAGACAGCAAATCAGTATATACAAATCTGTCAAATTTCTTCACTTCATTTAAAGCAAATGCATTAGCATTGTGAGTAATGTTCAAAACCAATTGAGGAAATTATACATAATGTGGTAACCTGACGTGCAGCCGTGAGTACATATACCAAAAAGACTATTCTTACTAGTGCAGCAAAGATATAGACAATGACACAAAATATTATATGAACTTGCAACACTCACTTAAGAAAGAAAACTATTTGAATCGCTATCCATTCACCTAGATTTCGTTTTAACATAGTACCATTCCTATTGTTGCTTAGAGTGAGGACAAACTTTAATGTCCCATACAACAAAACTCAGTTTTACCCAGAACTGATATCCAGGTGAATGAATGGATAAGTGATACATGTGGTTTTCCTTCGACACTCGCAAATAATATTTTTATTATTGTCTGTTTTTTCACTGTCATGAAATTAATATAACATGTAAATTGATTTAAAATGCAAATGTTTACCTTATAATTTTACTTTTAGGTATAAAATACATGAATATAATTTTAACATCTTTTAAGAACTTTCCACTGTTAAAATTGTCTTAACAAGAACATTGAAAAACCGTCATATTAAGGAAATATCTTACCGAAAAACTAAAATGCTCTCTAGTGGCCTCAAACTCTAACTGCCCGAGGAATTTTCTCAGCATACTGTCAACCATCCAACTGCGACGTCCATTGTCACCAAAAAATGTCACATGTATAATATCATGTTCAACACGCCCAAACACTGAAATTGAAGAAGAAAAATGTAATCTAATTATTTATGCATAACAACTTCAGCAATTAGTTATAAGATATTTCTTTTACAACAACTCAAGCCATTGTTAACAGATATGGAATTTTATTATTAGTAAAATATTATTCAAACGCCTTAATGTACTGTTTTATAAATAGGAATGACGGTATAAAGTTAAGGAGTGGGCTACATTATAGTTTTGTAGAAAATGTACAAAAGTGTGACGTCATGCAACATTTCAAGTCAATGTATAGCTACAATGAAAACTTTATTTTCTGAAATCTTCCAATTCACTCAAAAACTAAATTATAATATTAATTTGCATTACAATCATAACTCTATCACAGGATGTCCTTCATTATGATAGTTTTGTTCAATAAGCAAAACATACAAATGTTTTACAAAAACAATAATTCATAAAATAATTGTTTAATCAGGTTAAAAATATTTATTCATATAGTTTTATTCATAAACAAGGCTTAGCGCTGGAGTAAATTTACACCATCACTGCACTTAGTATTAGTTCAAATTCATATAATTAAACAGAGAATTAGCAAAGGTTAACCTAGTATGAGGTTCTATGGGAGTAATATTTAATCTTAGAAGGTGGTAGATTAGCTTATTCTCTGTATAATATGAATTTGGAGTAATACTAAAATTGCAATTTCAGCATAAATTGACTCTGACGCTAAACCTTGATTATTAATAGCACTGATAAACTCTTTGCAACTTGTCATAAAACAAGACTAACTTTAGTGCCAGGTTTAAACCATTATCTGATCAAAACGAGGAAAACTGCATCAATTTGTTCTTTCTTATTGTTGTCAATTTCCTTTACGAGGCCAAAACCACAAAAATACTATATATGTTTATAGATTGTAAAAAAAAATTGTATACTTACACTTCTTTCTAACAAAGATTCCACTAGATGGTTCTCTTGTGACAATGCATGGCCAAAACGGGTAAGTTCCCATTCTTGCCCAAGCCAAGTCTCCGACTTGGAATTCACATTTGGCTTCCAATTCAAACATGTCACTTTTAGAGACACTAATTTTATTACTACTGGATCTTTTATTTTTATTATTATCAAAATCGAGTGTCTTAACAACAGATGATGAGCTCATTTTTATATCAGATTTTATGACTTTTTTTCCACTATTTATGTTATACTTTTCAGAAGACCTTTCCAATATGTTTTGTAAATGGCTGTTCTTTGATTTTTTTGCACTGCCTGAGGAATATATATTTTTTGACAAATCACTTTTATCTTTTACTTTATTCTGGATTAAATCTTTTCTGACATAAAGTTTAGGTATAAAATTAGCTGGAGATGATTTTTTCTTTTCAGTAGAATCAAAATGGCTGAATGACTTATTCTCACTGTATATATTTTCAATTTGACTTTCTAAGATGGATTCAAATGATTTAACATTAACCAACATATCTCCTTTTATAGGTGAATTGGAAGCATGCATTTTATAAACTGGTGACAATGGAATTTTTGTTGGGGTCCTTTCTACGGCTGGTGTTTTCATACACTTTAAAATTTTCTCCGAGTCCGTCATTTCTAATCCTGTTTTCAAACGAAGTGCTCTACCATAACGGCTAGTATTAAAGGCCTCACTTATTGTCACAGGAGAAGTAACATGAGCTGTCAAATTGGTTTCCAGTTCCCGTTCAACAAGGGACCTCTTCTTCTGTTTCGACTTAATAGATGACGATGTAGATCCCACTTCAGTATCTTCGACACTCATATTGTCTTCAGATTCGTCCATTTCAATCATAATTCATTGAAATACACAGTCAAAGATTATGTTTAACCTTTATGAGAGAAAAATCGAAATATGAATAGTAACAAATTTAAACATTTTATTGCAATTTAACATCTAATAATTATGACAAAAGCCACGCTATATAGTTTCTATCTATTCTTATCATCACAATCACTCTATGATTGATGGCTGAAACAAAAGAAACAAAATGAAGTTTGAATTCACAAAAAAATAGGTTATTTTAATATTTGAACAAAATTCACTACAGATGTGTTCACAATTAGGCAAAATCATGAATTAAAAACTACACTGCAAGACTCACCATCGCTTTATGCCAATATATGACCACAACAAGGGTAATTTCCGCCTCAACAACTGCAATGCTATAGTCTCTTTGGTAGAACAATCACAAACGAAACTTGGTTTCTTTTTTTACACGAACATTATAGGAGATAGAAATATTTTAATTACAGATTAATAAAGCACAAAATAAACAAATTCAGAAACATTAACTATTAATAGCAACGTCCAATTATCGCTCGTACAAAGTCCCCATTTGTGACGAGGAAACAGCAAATGCACCCTATCTCACGCGCGCCATATCACATTTTTAATCATGGCAAAACGATATTTAACAGTTCATATTTCACATTCCTGGTTTGCGCTAAGAACGATAACGGTTTATCTTAAAATATTTACCTATTAAAAATATTTAGATTGTGGTATTTGTTCCAACTTTAATGTAATAAAAGAAATTAAATTCAACGACGCTCTGTCAGTACCGCGAAAACCAACATGCAAATAACATTTGTGTGCAACAATATTTTGTTATTGGTGTGTATCAGTGTGTATATGTATACGACGATAGAGGTATTTTTTACTAACACACACAAACACACAATAGCTTCTGTGCTGTTTTACCGACGCTTTCAAAAAATTACTGATAATGTATAAGAACAATTTGTTCCCCTTGTAGAAATAGTACATTATTAAGTCATGATTTAAACAGATTAAAACTATTAAGCATTGAATGTTAAGCAAAGAAGTTCAAGGTTTGGCATCATTTTATCTTCTGGAGATATTTAAGATTTAAGATACAGATGCTCTGTAGTTCTTAAATAGGGATGCCGATCTGAGATCGATTAATCGAAAAATCGTTTTTTTTTAAATCGCAAAAAATATCGTTTTTTTTAAATCGATATGAAGTACTGAGTCGATTCACTGAATCGATATATCACCCTTGAAAATCGACATTCGGTTTTTTCTGTTTTGGTATAAACCAGTGGTTTGGTATAAACCAGTCTCATTTTGTATGGAAACTAGCGCAATCTATTTAGCGATTCCTAAAAGATTTTGTAATAAAATTACTGCTATGTGATATCATAGATGTCACTACTACTGCGTTTGACGTTCTAATGGTTATGGTTATATTATGGTTATTATTAAAAATGTTTTCTTTTTAAAGAATTATTTAATTATTAATTATAGAACCGTTTAGAAGTTATTACAATTATTATTATGTAAATGAAAATTGAAGAATTTACAAAATTTGTTCATAGCAACATTGTTTGTGATATGGCAATAATAATGGCTGATTTGATGAAGTTGTTGTTGTTGTTACCTGAGTATATACAGTACTGTCGCGTCAGCACTGACTTCAATATCCCACCTTCATATTTTTGGCGTCAGTCCGCTCCCCCTGCAACCCGCGACAGCGCAACTGACGCCGTGTAAATGCCGAAGTCAGTCGCTGCCGCTCTAATGTGTGGGGACCACGCGGCGTCTATTCCCGAGGATCTTAAATTCTCAACTAGTTTAACAACAGAGCAGAACCTGCACTTGTATGTCTGTCATCTATCCATTTTCTTGCCCATTATAAGACCATAGTTTCTCAAAAAATTATTTAGTTTCATTTTTTGCTGTTTTCGAGAATTCATTTTTCCGCACTGACTTTACGAACGTGTGTACATCAAAAGAAATATCCTCGACCACAGACGAACTACTGACTGCGTGTAAATAGTATGAGTCAGTTTTCAGCGCCAGCACTGACGACAGCTACTGACCCTGTATAAATCTGCCTTTATACAGGGGCCTAATGAGGAAGTATTTAAAAAAATAAAGAAACTCCAAAATTTTTTTTCACTAGATGGCAGCACAAAAGTGGGATCTAAATGTCAATTCATGACGTTTAACCAAAGAGAATTGACAGATTTGTTATAGATCTGATAATTCGGATTAATATCGAGTTGAAATTCAATTAATTCAAGTTAAGCAAACGCAACTCGATTAACCCCTTACCGCATATGAATCCATATATGGACGCTAAAGTTTATGATTTTTTTACAAGTCAATGATATAGTTTATCAAAAAAATGTTACTCGTACCAGAACCAGAGTTTCATCGTGAAACGGAACATTAAAAAACTGTGTCTGGCAAATGTCATCTGTCACATATTTTTAAGGTTATGTGTAGCACGTGCGACGGGTCGGATGCAGGAAAAAAAGTGGTAGTTTGAAAGTGAAAAATAAATACCTAAGAGGTAAGTAATTGTTTTGAAAAAAATCATATTACACGATCTTTACTTTTCAAAATAAGGGAAAAGTTTTGGTTTCGCATTATTTTGTTTCTCTTGCCTTTTTTTTTCACTTATTTGAAGTTGCCAAATTTGGCTTCGTTTGCATTCCGGTCAAAACTTTTCTTTTCATATATGGCTTGGTATGCATCTGAGGTGGTATTTATGCTTATTCCAGAAATGCACCCAGCACGCTTCTACGGCACCGCTAAGCATGTGAGCACTATTCCTGGTGATGGTAACGTGAGTGATGATGATGATATTGATTCAGATTGTGATATAAGCTCAATTTGCTTACCTCCAAAAAAACACGTGATTATACCTGAGTCTGAATCGGATTTTTCTGAAGAAGATGACGAACCCTTGATAAATTTAACGTCCAAGGTGAAATCTGAAAAAAAGACAGCTAAGAAAGAGCGGGTTGTCTGGAAAAAAGGGAAAATGCCAGCTTACAATGTCGATAATTTTAAATTTCAAGGTAACACTGATTTACCGGATAATATAAAAGCACTTCCCCAGCAGACGTTTTCAAGTTCTTAGTTACAGCTGATATGATTGATTGTATTACTTAGCAATCCAATCTCAAGTCTATTCAAGTCAATGTAAACAAACCAGCAATTATCACAAGGGATGAAATAGATAAATTTATAGGAATCGTCATTTTTATGTCGTGTGTGAAGTTACCGGCAACAAGAAAGTATTGGTCAAAAGAAGTAGGGCAGTCACAGGCTTACGAAACTATGACGTGCAATAGATTCGAATCTATCAAAAGATTTTTACATTTCAATGATAACGCAAACTTTATACCCCGTGGAGAAGACGAATATGACAAATTATTTAAAATTAGGCCTTTATTAGAGATGATTCGTGAGCGTTTGATGTTGGTCCCTAAAGAAGAGTTTTTAGCCGTAGACGAGCAAATAATGCCTACCAAATGCCGCCATTAATTAAAACAGTATAACCCAGCCAAGCCCCACAAATGGGGATACAAAAATCAAGTCCTGAGCGGCGTTGGCGGCTTTAGCTACGATTTCGACATCTTCGCTAGAGAACAAAGTAATTCCTTTCCTTCAGATGCGCCAGATCTTGGTGTTAGCTCAAATGTGGTCACTAGATTAACATCTACAGAGATATAAAGAGTTCCACGACATCTTAACTACAAGATCTGTTTTGATAACTGGTTCAATAGCCCATATCTTCAAGTCTACCTTTACAAACAAGGTCTGCTTCCATTAGGAACTGTGAGGCTGAATCGTGTGCCGAACTCGAATATGCCTACTGAGAGAGAATTGAAGAAGCAAGGGCGTGGAAGTATGGCAGAAAAAGTAGCGGTCATAGATAAAGTAAAGCTAAGCCTGGTTTCCTGGTTTGATAACAAGAATGTGAATCTTCTTTCTGCCTACGTTGGTAGTGAGCCCAAAACAACAAAGTGGCGTTATGTTCGACAGGATAAAAAATATGTTGACATACCTTCTCCCCAAGCTGTCGATGTTTATAACCAGCATATGGGAGGAGTAGATCTGCTTGATTCCATGCTGGGTTACTACAGAATCCATTTGCAGTCTCGTCAGTGGTATAAGAGGATTTTTTTTCACATGGTGGATATGTCTCTCGTAAATGCTTGGTTGTTATGGCGCCGAATCAACAAAGACTGCTACATGCCGTTGTATGACTTTAAACTCGCCGTTTCTGAGCATATGCGAAAGGCAGAGAAACCTGTTTTTACCAAGAAATGTGGTCGTCCATCCAGCATTCTTGGAACACCGACATCTAGCCGAGGTGGTACTCCTATGCCAGACTCTCCAGTACCCGCTAAAAGGGCACGAAAGACCCCAGCTAGACACCAAGATATGCCTTTGGATTCGGTACGTTCTGATAGCATTGGTCATTATCCGATATGGAAGAAGAACGCCCGGCAGTTGTGCCAATATTGTTCCAAATATCGTTCTTTCACATTATGTGAAAAATGTAATGTTTTTTTATGTTATAACGACAAACGCAATTGTTATAAAGAATTTCACGAAGTCTAAGTAAGTTTACTCCGAAATGCATACGAAGCCACATATGAAGGAACATTTGTAAGCTGGAGTGCATACGTAGACAATAATATTACCGTGAAAATGTTTTTATAAATAAAATACTTATGCCATAATAAGTTTAGGAATTTCTCATTATAATATTAAATAAAAGTTCTGAAAACAATAACAACTAGGTAAGTTAGTTTTATTGCTATTAGTTGTTTGTTAAACTTATGGTAAAAAAACTACATCAAGTCTCAATCATATTTTTAACATAATGTGTGGTAATTAAATGAATAGGGTTTATTGATCAGCAACAAAGATCATAAAACGATAATTGTAATAAAAAAAAATCCGTTTATTATCTATTATTAGACTACGATTCTCTTTATCGAATACTATGGACATCAATCTTTATCGATTGTATTAGTGGAAGCACTATCTGTCAGTGGGTTGCCACTGTCACCTTTGTAGTTGACATTGACGGACGATGAGATGATTTTGGGCGGGAATTGAGTACTAAAAGTTGTTGTGAAAAGTTTATGTATATGATAACTCACTCAAAGTTGTGTTTTAATACTATGTATATACTTACCCGGTATTTATTAAATATACTAGGTATTCGTAAAAAATAACATGCAAATTCGTAAAAAATAAATTTTCGAAATTAAGAATTAAATATACTATGATCAGATATTAAATCTTATATTCATGATCACATCTTGTAGCAGATCTTCCGCATTTGGGGAATCTTTGAAAATGCCTAGATCTAAGATACAAGATGTTAGGACGATATATGAGAGAATGGATTATTGAATAATAGGAGAATCGAACATTGGAACACTGGACAGGGGAGTCTGATGAAGCATAGGAAGCTACGAAATAAACAAGATATGGTTTTATGTTTCCAGAACATATCATGAGATATAAATTCTGAATGTAAATGTAATTTGTTAATAAGCAGGTGATTCGACTTCAAAAGTCAAAAGTCAAAATAATCTTTATTCAAATAGACTTTTTAAAAGTACTTTTAAATCGTCCAACATTTTTTCCCAACAGCTCGTTCAGGACGTCTTTTGGCTGATAAGAAGAACGAGCAAGAAACTCACCAGCTCTAATATGAGTAATGACATTTACAAAAACCATGTCATTACCACATCAATACATTATAAACAGAGATAAAAAAAAACTATGGTCTTGTAATAATAACATAATCATTTAATAATAATGGAAACAAGATAACTTTTGATATATAATGAGTTAAGAAGTAATCACCTATCCATTTGCTGGATCATCTCAAGTCCAAGCATTCTTATCTGTTTTATAATCGGATACCTTATAGTAAGCTTTTTTAATAAGTAAATTCTGAATAATTAAAAAAAAATCTTTTAGCTCCTAAAACAATACGGAGACACTTGTACTGAATCTTATCAAGCGCTTTTAAGGATGATTTCAAACTGGGTTAGCCCTCTTTTACCGTCCAAAATCATGTCATCATCCCTCCCCTCAATGTCACCTTAAAAAGTGACAGTGACAACTCACTGACAGATAGTGCTTCTCCTAATACAATCGATAAATATTGATGTCCATGGTATTCGATAAAGAATATCGTAGCTTAACAGTACCTATCGTAGTCATGCTCTCTTAAAAATCTCTGCGATGGTGTCATGTGCGTCGGGTCGCTACATTTCCTCAAATATAGATGAGCGAAGCGATGGCTGACCCATGTGTCAAGGTCGTCAACGGGTGCTGCAAGTGGGGGTGAGTCTGTATTGATTTGTCAATGAGTATGTAGGATTTCTGATATTGTAATGGGAAGTGCTGAGTTTCTTGCCGGTTCTTCTCAGTACAAGATAAAGCCTTAGTTTTGCGAACCGTTGGCAAAGTTTTCGACTTTCAAAAGTGACTGATAATATAGCCCTGAAGTTCTTCCCTACAGAGGTCATTATTCTCATCACTCTCATTTTCAATGCCTATTTCGATCTCTGCTACTTTCCAACCGCGTGAAAGGATGCAATCATAATAGGCATCCCCAAACCGGGTAAACCCCCAACCTCCCTTTCAACCACCGCCCCATCAGCCTCCTAAAGGCCTTAGGGAAACTCTTGGAGAGGTGTATACTTTCCCGCATGAGGGAACACCTCTTCAATCCCGAACTGGATCTCATGATCCCCACCAATATGGCTTTAGAGCCAAACACTCCTGTCCCCAACAGGTTCAACGCATAGTGCCCAACAGGTCCAAGCTTGTCCTGATCAATTGCCTCTAGCGATTAATGCGCTGAACCGCGACTTAGAAATAATTTGTGACTGGAGCAAGTCCTATGGCATAAAAGTAAATGCACTGAAAACCCAAGTCATTATTGTTGGCAGTCCCGCAATGACAAATAAAATCAAC